CAATATTGAGAACTGAGAATATAAGTATATTCATATTGACCTTTTTCTATATATCATTTTATATATCTATATATTTTAAATTAGGGAAGTGAAGTTTTCACAAAAGTAACCAATAGATATTTTGTAAGAGATTTCTAAAGCTCTAGTTCTACTTAAATTTACAGTTCTGGCAAGGAAAGAGTTTTAGATGATCTACTGAACTGAATGTGGAATTAGGCCATGTATTTTAATCATTAGAAGGCATGCGAATATAACTGAGAACTATTGTTTAGAAATAAACATTCATAGCTCAGATAACATTTTAGCACTATTGCTGTATAGATTTGTTGCTATCACAAATTGCCTCCTTTGATTTTGTTTGTAAAGAAAACTGTCTTTTTTTCTAGGCAGCTCCAGGCAAACTCCATCAATCAATTCTTCAAAGACACTATAATAAAACATCTTTGAAACCTGTTTAAAACTCTTATCTAATTACTACCACTTTTCTTTAAGCTTTATGGTAACTTTTGAAATAATATTCCATATATATATTAGATTAGATTAGATTAAAATTCTTTATTGGCCAAGTGTGATTAGACACACAAGGAATTTGTCTTTGGTACATATGCTCTCGGTGTACATAAAAAGAAAAGATGCATTCGTCTAGAATCATAAGGTACAACACTTAATGATAGTCATAGGGTACAAATAAGCAAACAAATTATTATAGGAAACAATATAAATCGTAAGAATACAAGCAACAAAGTTACAGTCATACAGTCGTAAGTGGGAGGAAATGGGAGATAGGAATGATGAGAAGATTAATAGTAAATGCAGATTTAGTGAATAGTTTGACAGGGTTGAGGGAATTATTTGTTTAGCAGGGTGATGGGGTTTGGGAAAAAAATGTTCTTATGACTAGTTGTTCTGGTGTGCAATGCTATATAGCGTCATTTTGAGGATAGGAGTTGAAACAATTTATGTCCAGGATGCCAGGGGTCTGTAAATATTGTGCAGTATACAGGTCCTCAATGGAAGGCAGGTTGGTAGAATTGTTTTTTCTGCAGTTATGATGGACAGGCAGAAGCTAAGCCTTCTTGTATCAAATCCTAGTAACTCTTTGAAGAAAGCCAAAATATTATTACTTTTCTAAATATTGTATCAGATACAATATTTCTAATGTATCAAAGATATCTTTGCCAAAAAAGTTTATATTATATCATATGAGAGCATTGTAGATCTTCCAGTAGCTCTATCCAATTAATTGATGCTGTTTAACTAACAGATAATAATATGCTCATAACTGATGAAAATATTTTCTACAGAATCCTTTTCATGACCACTGAAAAGTGAGTCCTATTGAGTTTCATGGGACATAGTTCTACATACGTGTGCATAAAAATCAAGTTTGTTGCTAAAGCTAAAACATTTATTGCATTGACTGAATAGGCATTTTGTTAAAGGCAGAAATTATCTAGAAAAGGTGGATGAAACTTTGATTCCAAAATTTGATTCAGTAACAATTCAATCAAAGGAAACTACTTCAGTTTTCTGAATTAAAAAATAAATAAATCACTGAAAATTTTGAACTACCTAGTCCTAGATGCAGCTACACATGCTCAAAAACAGAATGTTTCAGATTCAAAAATCCAAATTGAATCAGTTATTTATTATGAATCATCATCTGAATCAATCTAAATGTGTTATTTTTTATTAAAAGTTTTTTATTAAATAAACATTAAAAACATTGGATACGGTGTGACCGTCCCAGTTTTGTCATTTCCATACATATTTTTAACATAACAACAAATATAATTACTACTTATCATACATTGCTATTTTGATCTTATAACCATATCCCTTGTCCTCATTTATATCTTTATCTAAATATTATCCACTTTCTATTCTACAAATCCTAAATCTTTTCTTCTCCGACTTTTTCCTCCTTTTCAACCATTGATACAATTCGTTCCGTATTTCAAAGTATTCTGTCTCACCCTTGTTTTTAATTTCAGCCTGTCCATTTCGGCACAGACCAATATTTTCTTTATTATTTCTTCTTCCAGGGGGATTTCTTCATTTTTTCCAATTTGAAATACCTCTAAACCAAAAAAGATATTTCTCCTCTCAATCTTCCTTTCTCCCCCAATTATATTCCTTGCTCTTTTTCTGCTCTATAATGTGCTGGATTGAGTACAACCTTCATAAATATACTGTGGGAGTATAGAAGGCCTTATCTCCTTGCGCTTTACAGTAGCTGAATACAGTCTGTCTAATTTCCATTGCCCAGGGCACTCATTCATCCCCTGCCTTATTCTTATGACATGAAAGTGAGAGGTGAGGTTTTCTCTATCTCCACTCTCTTGTATAATTGTCTTTTGGGTTTCAGAGAGGTAGAGGGAAGTTTCCATATCTCACAATGTAGTAAGTCAAAGCAGAACTAAACACCTGTGTTCCAAAATTTAAGGATATTTTTCTGTAAATGCTGAAGGGCATATTACAATTACAACAAATTATTTATACTCTTCAAGAAAAAATTAAATTCATGTTCAAATCTGAAGGACTGAAAATTTGAACATGTTCAAATCAGGACCATTTCACATTTAAATAGGAAACTAGTTCAGCTTGCAATGCTATACATGTTCCTAAGAATAAATACCATTGAATTCTAGGTTTTAAATTAAAGTACATGCAAAGAACTATCTTGAAAGAATATTGGACAGAAGTATAGATACGAAAGGATTAATTTTTAGTAGAAAGTTAACATAAAAGACTATGATCTACTTTTAATTTTGATTTTCTAAATAATGGAAAAAAGATTTTACATCATTCTATTAATTTTCATATATAAATTTCAAATTTTGAATGATCTCGTAGAGACTGGAACATTGCCATCAGCAGCTACCACTTTTTATCATCAATGTACTCTTATTTAAGGGACTTTACACAAGTATATTTTGTGAATATTGTTTATTTGTATCTTTCAAGGGCAACCTCTGGTCATTAATGTCTTCTATAAATTAAGAACTAAGAGCACGCAATGATCCTTAAGTTACATAATATTAGACTTTCTGCATACTACATGAAAGCTACTTAGGAATACATTCTCAAGACATCTTTGTGTTATCCTTTACCTAGGGAAAACTTATTCTATATTCTAAGGTCTATATAGAAATCACGTCTAGATAGCAATTTCCTTAGAACTTAATTTGTTTTAACTACTTTCCCAACATTTCCAATTTGCTAGAGTATGGAAAGATTGCTGAAATCCAAACGACGCTGGAAGAAGAACTCAGTATAGAGACAAGTCACGGCAAAGTCAAGAATCACTATAGTACTTTTACAATCAGCTGTTCCAATGCCATTACTGGTGTCTTGGACTTTCCTGTTATTGTGTGGAAGAAATGCAGTATTTTTTGCTCTGCTCCTTAATGCTTTGAAATTCTGAACAAAGACATTAAGAAAGAAATATATTTCTGACTGTTCAATTTAAGAACTCAACTCAAGAATAACTATTGGATTAAGAATAACTTGGATTAACTATCATAAATTAAACAATCACAAAAGCAGAAATTAATATGTGGTTTTAAATGGGTAAGAGGATCTCATTCATGTATGTATATATAAATATACAATAGAAGAAATAGCATTTCTGATAAAATTGAAATTCAACTAATGTATTCAAATTTAAACCAACCTACATTTAAACCTCTTTAAATAAAGAATGATTTCTCCTTAATGTTGTTATATGTTATTATTTTAATAGTTAGAGCAAAACAAATTTTAAAAAGACAAATGTAATTAGGTTTGTTATTCAAACATCTTGATTAATCGTATGAGTTTTAATCAATGAAAAGTACCTATGCATTAATTACAAAAAAAACAGTTATATTTTAGATCATTATTTTTTCCACAGGAAGAATGTTATATTTATGCTAATGGATGCCAACTAAATTCTTGTATCAATGAAATATATAAACCACTAGCAATATTTCAGTCAGAAATATTATTTTAAAATAATTATAAGCACTTTAACCTATCAATAATTGTATAAATAGCCCAATTCTGTACTACTATGTTTAAGAGATAATCCCACTAAAGTCCTGAAACTCAAATTTCATTGTATTCTCTTCAAAGCTGGCAACATCTTGTCCCTAGATTGGAATGAGAATGTAACAGTCATAGGTAATCATTCAGCGCGAGCATGCGCGCGCGCGCACACACACAGACATATCTTGCAATGATTTCAATGGGTTTACTTCCACATGAGCACAGGCTTTAATTTTAACATAGAAAAATGTTATGTTGAATCAGAAACCCTTCAGCAATCTAGCATCCTATTTCTTACAGCAAACAATCAGCCAGCAAAAATGCTCATTAGTATGAAAGAAAGGGAACAGTTCTCCCCTCTATGCTTCCCAAAACTGGTATTTGGAGACAGATAACTCTTATTTGTTATCTAGAGATAAAATACAGACACAATGACTAAAACTGATTTTTTAGTTCTTTTCATTTTCATCACAAAGTCTGGGATTTGATAACTCACTGGATGACTTTTATTGCACATTATTGGGAGGCAGCAAAAAGAAAACTTGGGTCTTTTCACCCACTGTAAAGCTTTAGAAGCTCTAAATTGGGAAAGGAGGTTAGCAAGTCTAATTCCAGACAGTGATACTATGAAGTTAAATTCTCAGCTTTCATTTTAAATGTCTGAAGAATATTTCAATGCAGAGTTGCCTAGGTTATTAGTAATTTTCATTCGAGAGCAATTACAATTCAGAGAAGTTTGTTTTAATAGAGCAATTATTTAATAACTATGTTCAGATTTTTAAAAAAGACAGGACAATTATAAATAATAGTATTTGTTCTTTTCATGGCTGAAAAAAAAACTCACCAAAAAAAAAACGAACACTATCCAATATACACAATGTAAATAACTTATCTAAATTAATTTTATATATATCATCAATAACTATACTATCAATTATAAAATGAAGGCAGATAGCTATATCTGACACATCTCCCTCAGCCACAAAACTTTTATTTACTTGAGCTGTTACTGTTTGCAGTCCAGAAAGTTCATTCGTTCACTTTGCTTTTATGCAGTTAATATGACATCACACGGGGATTCATGTAATTAGTTACATTTAATGACCTGAAATGTAAATATAACAAAGTGTCACAAGATTTAACTTGATATAAACATTCTATTTTGCTAAAGTAAAAAGTTCCTTCTCAAGAATGCCTGAAATCTACTATTCTGCATTTTATGAATTTTCAGTAATAATCTAATTCAAGTTTTGATTTTTTTTCTTTAAATAAACTTAATACAGCATTTTTTCTAACTCAGATCCTATGATGTTCAGATTAAAAACAACCTGCCTTCAGCCATTGACCCAAAAACACTTCTCTGTTTTACAGTCAATTGCCCAGTATAGCAATATTTTATGAGGTAGATCAGTGATGGCGAACCTTTTTGGTACCAAGTGCCGAAAAGGGAGAGTGCATGTGCACATGCGGCACCAAATGCCAAAAAGGGAGCACTTCGTCAGGGCCGTGACCAAGAAGAGGAGTGCCCAGGGGCCATGCACACGCTGGATAAGGTACTTATCCTATCTAAGGCAAGAAAGTCTTCTGGTTACTGCCACGCATGCGTACGCTGGAAAACGAAAGACCAGCTCTTCCGGTTTCCGGCACTGCCACATGCACAAAGGCCAGTTGATCGTCACGTGCACATGCATGCCAGAAACCCGGACAAGGAACGGGATGCCGCAGGTGCCAGGTGACATGGCTCCACATGCCAGAAGTGGCACGCGTGCCATAGGTTTGCCATCGCAGAGGTGAGTAGGTTGGAGGGGGGGCAGAACCAGTTCGGTGATGTCATATCATCACCGCTACCGGCTTGGAACCAGGCCGAACCGAGAGGAACCCACCACTGGTGGGTACATATGTAAATAAGTGAGAAGGGCTTTATATGATGTTGAGTTACAATGCATTTGGTCTAATAGGTCACGCATGGTATAGATTCTTAATGATTTTATTAGAATTAGCTAAATCAGGATCCCATATTTAAATAAACAGCTTTCATTATTCCATTATTCATCAGTGTCAGGATTCAAGCTTCAGCTTTATAAAATAGAACAAGAACTCTTCAAAACATCTGGAGAAATTCAACACATTTCCCTCCCCACTGAGTTAAATAGCAAGAGAATCTTCACAGAACATTATATAGAAATTAAGGGAATAGTTTACCAGGTTGCAGAATATCTACTGCAGAGTTTTTCCTAGAAATTAAACACTGCAATTTGGCAGTACTTACTTTTCAATGTTTAAGGCCATAATACTTCTTACTGGTCTGCTCTTAGTTCCAGCATTAGGGTGAAATACTTTTCCTTGTTTATTAGTTGTGGAAGCCCTAGGCACTCTAACGCCATATGGGTCTGTAGAATGAGTTGGAAATGGATCAAATGTGCCTGCTTTCATGCCTCCTGGCTAAAAGGACAAGAAGAAATGTTAAATACTGCAGACTTTAAAAAGAATACTTCACCCATACAAAACACAAACATGAATTTAGCAGCATTATGAGCTGAGTACAAAGTAATATGAAAGCCTACTTCAAGTATAGCACCTAATTTATTTTCACAGAGAATCACAAAATAATAGACTTACAAGAGTTGGTCTCAAGAATATAAACAGGTCTGTCCTGAATAATATTTGGTCATGATACCCTTACAAAAAGCAGGACTATAGACCAGTGTAGGAAAGAAAATCCTGAAAGAGGCAACTATAAACCACTGCTGTATTGTTGCCAAGATAATAGTGTGAACACGCACAAAGTTAAAAAAAATCAAGCTTAATTTAAAGGAATCTATCATTTTAATGTAGCATTTGAATTACAATATTAGCTAAATACTAGATGACCTTAGTTAACACAGTAATTTTACTGTTCCTCCAAGATATATTTATGCAATTTTCACAACAACACTGTGAGGGAAGTCTACAGTATTGCTGAACAGAACTTCAGCCTTTGTACATATGATGGCCAAACCAAATTGAAGTTTGGTCTACCTGATCTAAATTCATGACTACATACTTTGCTTTAGCCACACCCAGTTGTAAAATTAAGGAAGGAATCCTGATTCATACAACACATTAAGCATGAGAGTTATTATTTGATTTTGGTTTATAATAGATGAACATCTATGGAAATTCTCTCCTCTTTTTTTTTTGCTGATTTTATTTCTCGTAAAGGAAGGGGTTCCAGGATGGGTCACTTCTTGGATCTCTATTTGGATTAAATCTGAAAAAGCTATGATGATTCTATAACTATGATGAGCACACAGATGTGCTGTTTTCCAAAATTAATTGGCTTTATTTTTCCCAATAAATATAGCCCTTTACATTGCAGTAAGTATCACACATAACCTGTTTTCTTGGCTCAACAAAAATATCTGCAGTAAAAATTTCTTGAGAAGTTTGACTATTAACAAGCACACCTTTTTAGCTGGAGAACTTGGCTTAAAAGGATGTGGAATGGGTACTTTTTCAGGTGGCCTTTTTGGTGGAGGAAGCGGCCCTTCATCATGGTAAGGATTTGTATCGAAATATTCTCGGGGATAAAGATTTAGCTTGAATGGTCCACCTTTCATCAGATTGCGATGTTCTTCAGATATTTTCTGGGCAAATTAGAAATGGAAAATGTCACATCAGGCTCTTCAACACCTTAACCAAAACTAGGGGCAAGATTAAGTCTGCAATTCTATGTTCACATATTTCTGGATAAGCTCTACATAACTGTAATTATTCCTGAGCAAACTTACATGAGATTGCATTTCTGAAGTTATAAATGCAATGTGATAGGAAATTAGTATTAATGAGTATTAGAAATATCAAGCCAAATATATAGAAGGCAGAACCTTGGACATCATAACATCAAAGCAAATATGTACAAGAAGGAAATTCACCAAAGTAATAAAAAAGCAGCATGGTTTCCCCTTTCTTCACCACTTAAAAGAGCTTTTTAAAACAGGTTTCACATTAAGGATAAATCCATATATGGCTCTAATACAATCCATACCACTTCTGGGATAATCACTATAATTTTTTAACTGATGAAGTTAATCTTAACAGGGAAAGCTGCAAAAGCCCACTATTCAACCATTAACTGTATTGATGGCATCAAAAATAACTATCGAGGCTGAGAAAATAATGAATTAATGGAACATATATTGAAATAATATACAACATGTATTCTTATTTCTTTATCAAATAAAAGGTTAAAGATGTATAATTTTATAGCATGGTACCAAATAAAGTCCAATTAGAAGGAATAAGATACGTTATCAACCTAGATAAAATAAAACAGAAATCCAATTGAATTTTACCTTAAAATTTATTCTTCCTATGTCAAACAATTCAACTGAATGTGTATATGGTTTACCTATGGTGAGATTTGGATACCTAGATACAGAAATAAAACAGTGATAGCAGCAACATTCAACTATCTCTTCCCTTAAAAAAAGATATATTTGATATTATAATTCTAGAATGTTTTACCCATAGCCAGTTCCTTTCTTCCCTGGACTGGTATAGAGATTTTTCCCTGGTTGTATATATGCAATCTTATCTTTCAACTGAGCACTGAAGAAGGGACATGGGCCACTAATTGTTCCGTAGTAGGTTCCTATGCCACACCTGAGACACAGAAAGAATTCGGAGATTAGCATTCTCTATGCTCTATTAAATATGCAAATAATATAACATAACATAATAAATATAAATATATGTTTGCTTCAGATAAACAAGTTACAATCCTAGTGTACCTGTTCTACTAAGAGTGACCTATCTTTAAAAAAATACATTAAAGGGATAATAATATTTATATTTAATATAATTTAATTAAGGCCAAATGAAGTAGGTGGATGTACTTTTGATATACTGTATTTTTCGGAGTATAAGATAAATCTTTTTACCCCCAAAAAGAGGGTGAAAATCTGGGTGCGTCTTATAGTCTGAATGTAGCCCCCCCCCCCCCCCAGCCTCTGAAATTTCCATTTGAGAGGCTGAAAAAAAGCCTCTGAAACGGAGGTTTGAGAGGCTGAAAAGGAAGCAAGGCACAGAGCTCACAACCAACAAACCTGTTGCTAAAGTTCACCTCTGAGAACAGCTGAATGGGGATATTCCGGAAGGCAGATTCACCCCTGATCAGCATTTTTCTTATTTTCCTCCCCAAAAACAAAGGTGCGTCTTATAGTCCGGAAAATACGGTATATTCATAATACATACACACACACACATTTGACTCTGCTTTAAAGTAAATAGATTAAATTGGTTAGACAGTCCTCAAGCGATTCTCAGTCCCTAGATTCGTTCTTGCAGCTTCTGGAACACCAAAAACTCTGCAGCATAAAAAAAAACAAGGAAAATAGGTGCACTAAGGTGCATTAAGTTTTAGTATTCTTCTTTTGGCTAAAATCACCCCCCCCCCCTTCTAAAATAATTTTTAAAAATGATGGAGAAATGAGCCCTGCTCTCTTTGATTATGTCACTCTGCTACTGTCACACTTTATGTCATATTTGGTTACCTTTATTTAGAAAAACCAACAGAAAAATTGCCTATCTCTGCTTAGGTGAGCATTTCAATGTAATTCTGCATTTCTCTACCTGATTTCATTCATAATATTAAGTCAGAGGCAGGCAAGTTACGTCTAGTTCTCCCTGATCCTTTTCTGAAGCCTTTAAGGCCCTCTCAGATTGCACAGCCAAAATACGGTAGACACATCACAATCACTTTATTTGCAAAAAATATACAAAATACTTGCAGAAATAAGCTATCAATCATTCTATAGTTTGACAATATACATCCCTGCAATCCTTGGGAGCCATTATTTAAAAAGCATGCCTATCATATGCAAACCACAGTGACTAGGTTCATATATCACACTAAAGGAAAATGAAACACTATAAGACACAGAGTAGGAATCCAACTTATTGGTGGCTGTTTAGTGTGCTGTGCTTTGCAGTTTGATTTTCTTTTCTTGCTCATACTATTTCAGAGCAAGTACTTTGTCTAATATATTGTAGATAATCCTTTCTCTCCTGCTGATGCTTTGTTATCCCAAAATAGTCTTTCCCAATACTTTCATAGGCCATAATTTCCCTGTCACCATGGCCCATTGTGGAATATGGGAGCTTAACCAAATTTAGCACACAGTTAGAAAGAAAAACATATTCATAAATTTTCCTTACATCTTTCAATGTGTACTCCCCATTCCTACCATTCATATTCAGAATGTTTCCTAGAAATGATTTCTGGGGTGTTTATGAAAATTGGCAGAAATTAAAATAAACCATCTCAGAGGAAGAAAGGTATTTGTGGCACTAGAGGGAATCTAGGGGAAAAGAAGATTAGAATAATTAGAATCATGGAAGCAAAAACTTTATGGAAAGTCCGGTGATAAATATTTGTTTATCAGGAAATGAAATTTCCTGCCAGTTTTTGTGGTAACTTAGATATCAAAGTAATCCTTAAAATACATTTTAACTGAAAATGTCAATATACTGTAAGTAGATAAATGCCATATAACTTTTATATTACAGTAGTGGCTTTTTTAGAACTTACGGAAATTTATCTCCATTACTGGGAAGAAAGGGTCTGGATCCCAGGTTTTTTTTTGCCTCAGCCAATCGGTATCTTCTCCTTAACTGAACGGGATTTGAATAACTTTCACCTTCAAAAATTCTTGAAAACTGAGGATCAAAATATCCTGCTTGGGTGGCTCCTTTCTCTTTAATACCTCCTGGTAGCATTTGTTTATTCTTGCTTGCAGCTTCATTAAAAGGGCCTTTAAAATAAGGGAACAATTTCAGCATTGATTCAGTCATTTGTTTTAATTCTGCCCTGGGGAAAATAGCTTAGCAACTGGAAATGTCAATAACATCATCAGAAATTGATTTTGACTCAAGGAAGATTGTATTTTGCTTTACATTTTGCACATATGCAGTTTTGAATCTGAATTTGAAAACATGAATTGTTTTCAACACTTGTTCTAAGAAGCAGTTTTCAATACAAATCATCATATGACCATTAAAAAGATTACAGCATTCAGTAAGTCTGAACAAAAAAGTGCTTGTTCAAACCTGGCCTTTTTCTTTAAAGATTTAATTTTTTTCCCCAGAAATAGATGTTACAGATCGGAAAATCTAGTGCTACCATAGAATGAAGGAGAGAATGCTCCTTTTCCAGGAATTTGAGAATCTCACTGCCTAAAGTATGGCTAGTCAATTTACATAGAACATTCAAAAGAAACAACCAAGCAAAAACAAAACATACCAGTAGTTTGTCCCCTTAGGACAGCATAAAATCTTAAATAATGCATATCAAGGAATGTGTTATTCTATCTGAAACTCTCAATCAAAACCCTTTTAACATCTATTCCTAAAGAAATTATGCAAAAAAGGCAAGAAAAAAATATCCATTCCTACAATAAACTACCCAAAACCCATTCCCCCAAAACTGTCGAAGGAATCTAGACAAATGGGAGCAATGTGTAAAATTAAAGCAATTAAAGGTAAATAATAAAGATAGCAAAGAATAAGAACCGTTTAGGACTAATATACCAGTTTTCTAGGGAGATACAGTAAAAACAGAAAATTATAGTGATACCCTGAATAAATCAAATGAAATAAGTAATCTACGTGTCAACTAGGACATCTGTAATCATATTAGACATAAAGATTGTGCCAGTGTAGATGCCTTGTATATTGTGAACATAAATCAATCTGCCCCAACCATTCCGTTTTAACTCTGTGTTCATCCAACGTACTGAATTTGTCAAATGCAGCAAGGAAGACCTTTCTTGCAATAGAGAGGTCAATTCATGCTCCTATATTGCTGAACTGAATAGAAAAATGTACTTACGGTTAAATGGCGAGACATATTTATCTCCAATAGTAATATATTCCATTTCGCTAAAGAGGCCAATCCTCTCCATGTCTGTTTTTCCCATTTCAGAAGGCATGTTTACTTCTGTATGATAACTTTTGCTCTAGAAAATGTTTAAAGTATTATGCTCCCTAGAAGGAAAACACATATTAAAATGCTTCAGTCTTTGAAGTACTGACTTCCATGATTTTAGTCCAGTGTTCCTAAACAACTGGTTTAAATAAGGTAGCCAAACTCAATATCCAATATGAAATATATATATTAAATATGAAGTCCTGGGTATTTTATTTTTCTACCTTATTGTCTCATTCAAATTCCAAATACAAAATAAATTAACAGAAGGGACATGTATCTGCAAAAGGACAAGCTCTGTGTATCTCTACTGCTTCTCAGCATTTTTGCTCTGATCAAGTATTGGTAGTATCACTGTCTAGTTAAACGGTATATTTATTTTACAACTCATCATATGCTTCTCTAAAAAAGTGCTTTTCCAAACAAGTTCAGAACACAATGCAGAATTCTGCATATATTTTTTTTACAGTCAGACTATAATAGAGCTTTCTGATGATAAATTCATTGGAATATATTTCGCCAACATTCTCATCAAAATGATATGTCCGTAATCCCAGAAGAATCTTTAAAATTTGAAAATTTAAATCTAACCTAACCAAATAGACCGGAGAGCTTCTATCGAATCCTACCGGTTACCATAACCTACAGCTGTGACTGGTCTTGAAAACCTAATGGCCCAAATCGAATCCCTTTCACCAGTCTGAATAAAGACCAAGCCCATGCCTTCCAGTCAGGTATCAAGCAAACTTCAAAACAACAACAACAAAAAATCTCCATATGTTAAATTATTAGTTGCAAGGGTGCCTGGAATCCCCTTGGATCCCACACCGTTCAAGTTGTACAGGGCTGTGCCTCACCTTTTCTTTTTTGCAAACCAGCTTGCTGTACCTTCCCCCCCCAAACCGTTACAATTTCACGAAATGAATACAGTGATGCAATTTAGGAATCCCTCCGTCAGTCGTATCAGATGTACAGGCTGAGCACGGAAATGACGCCTGGAAGCGAGGGTTTGCACGGGACACGGAGAGTCAATTGGGCCTTTCGGACTGCCCGCTCTTTCCTTTAACCTTTTGGCTCCCAGTCACCCATAGGCCGACTCAGACTGGCTGAAGATGGGGCGGTCTGACTCTGCAGCCAGAACTTGAAGGCGCCACCTTGCAAAAGGCTCCTCTGTCGCTCCCCTCCCGAGTTTCTGATAAATAACGCAACCGATCACTTTTCCCCCTCCTTCTCTCTCTCTCTCTCTCTCTCTCTCTCTCCCCCACGCAAGAGAGGCGAGGTTGGGTTAACAGCGAAGACCACCTCTTTCGCCTCTCTCTCCCCAGCATTCCATGATTACAGCGCTTAGTTTCTCCCGCCCTTGAAAACTCTTTGTTGATACACAGTTGCCATGGTTGCGAGGGGCGCCTCACTCCGCCCCCTCCGATGAGGTCATCACGCCACAGAATCGAAGCGGCGTTTGGAGAGTGGAGCAAGTCGGGAAATGAAGTTCGGCGGTTTCAACGACAGAGGCGGAAAAGCGGCGCGATCCCTTTGTCGCGTCGCTCGCTTTTGTTGTGCAAAGAGAGGGAGAGAAGAGCGGAAGAGTGACGTGTCAGCTGGTGGGGGAGGAGCCTCGATCGGGGAGGAGGAGCATGCCGCTGCTGGGATCGCTTCTTCCTAGCGTTTTGCTGACGGACGTGGTAAGTCAGGCCGATGGTACCCGCCGCGGTCGCTCTGCTATTAAAGCAGCGGCATCCCTCGTCTTGTCTGCCTCGAAAGCAGCAGGTCCTCGTCGGAGGCCCCGAGCCCCAGCGCTTCCTTCAGTCAGGAAGCAGCTGTTGTCCGGTCGGCTCCAGCTGGGGGGAGCCTCAGGGGCCGCTTGCAAACCCCCCCCCCTTGGGCACAATTAGGCACAGAGGAGCTTCTCATGCACGCCTGTCAGGATAGGCAGTTTGACGAACGAGTTTGCATTTCTTTTATTTTCCTAGATTTATATGACGGCCCGCTGCGCCGGAGGGGGGGGGGGGGGGGGCTTTAGCATGTGAAGAAGCTGGACAGCAAAGAGTTAAGGCTAAAATAAGATGATAAAATAATAAACCATTTGGGAAATTAAAAAGCAAAAGGGAATAACGGAATCACAGGGATAACCTTAATCACAATTAAGAACCCAGACCAACGAAGATGTACAGATAGTCTTCGTTTAGGGACTGACAGACAACTCAGTGATTAAGGCAAGTGGTCACTAAGTGGGAAAGCATGTGACTGCTTATGATTTTACATAGAATTTTACATAGAACTGACTGTAATGGCAAACACATGACTGACAGAGATGCTGTATAGGTCGTAAACACAGGCAATGATCGCCAAGTTATTTTTTCATCACAGTTGGTACTGCAGTTGTTGCTGTCTGAGGCAGCCACTAAATGAGGACTACCTGTATCTCATTTAAGGGTCTTACACTCCATGTGGAATCATCCAATGCCCTGTGTAGGACTCAGGGAAAGATTTCAGTAATTAGAGCCTTATGGGAGGACAGTAAAACTTTTGGTAAAGAATATATTTCTTAGTAATTGTTTATACCTCACCTAGTTGTAAGCAGATTGTCATGGTTTTTGTACTTTTTAAAATTTTGATGTTCTTTTATTACATTTAATCTGTTTAGTTCAATAAAGTAGCCCACCTCCCCCCAAAAAAGTTAGCCCAGATTAACCCCAATCTTTCTGTATAGGGCCCAGCTTGTGATAGAAATTCTGTCTTGGTGGTGGCCATGCTTTCTTTTGTAAATGCAGTTAACATAGAACAACTATTTTGAATAGCTTTGGGAATGCTGCTTCTTGGTTTCTATTTGTTATAAATTTAATTAAAAGTAAATTCCACTGGAATAAAAGAATACTGTACTTATTTCCAAATAAATTACATGAAGTTCCTGAACTCAACTCCTGGTGACTTCCTAGACAATGCCTTTTGATTTTCTTGGTAAGAATGTGAAAGTAATTCACTATTGACTTTCTTTCAGAATATATTTTTCAAATTCCTGGTCTGGGATTTTCTGGTAGCCTATTCAAATACTAATGAGATTTAATTCTATTCAGCTTTTCAAGATTAAATCAGCTAGGTGCTACTATATAGCTGGACTTCAAATAAATTAGATGTTGCTAATATTTCTGTAAATGTCTGATCTTTGATCAAGGCCAAACTTCCCCTTAATAACTATTATAACATATTTGAAGTGAATAAAGGTGTATTCATCCTGCCTACAACATGATCGAGGAATGGTAGAATAGGGACTGGCAGCTACTACTCTGAAGCTAGGAACATTATATTGGAAAACCTAAATTAGGTTTAACATTTAAAAATGCAAAGAAACTTCACAAAACTGGGGGGGGGGGGAATAAAAACTAGATCACATTCACATAGGTACCAAGATCCCCCCACACTTTGGATTATTGTCAGACCCACCAAAACCTTGATCAGTCAGAATGGTTTGGAAGATCCCTAACCTTGGGTCAATGTGTTGTGTGAATTCAGTCCGTATATTTTGATAGCTCAGGATGATGTATAGGCATAACATTATGTCTTATTCAACCAGTTATGGATAAACAAACCATGGTAATTGAAAATCATTCAGCTGCTGCATTTTCAGATGGTAGGTTTGAATCTTTGAGCCACAATAGCCATGACAATTTATGAAAATTTTCAACCCAAAAACACTTTGGTTTTTTTTTTTCTCCTCACTTCAATAGGTCATCATAGACACTATGGACATACTTTTTAGAATAAGAGGAGGCTTGGATTTTGCATTTCAGTTAGCCACTACTAATGGTGAGTCTGTAGAAATACAAAATGCTGTGTTACATTATACTATAAAGAATCTTCCTGTACAAAAGTTTAAAATATTAATTCTACTATATGAACAAAAACTGTTTTAGCAAAGTTAGTATGAGAAGCCCTCCTCTCCTCTCCTCTCCTCTTCTCCTTTGGAGTAATACAACTGCAGATTCATTCAGAAGCAGTCCCACTCTTCTTAATAGAACTTTCTCCTTTCCAAGTTATTGAGGACCAAAACCCAAATGTCTAGGCAGTTCATTTTACAGGTCTTCTGCTCTTATTTAGGAGATTCTTTCACATTGAAATGCTTAATTGAGAATATTTCTTTCACTCTTCAGTTAATGGAAAGCTCACAATTGTTCCTTTTCTTCTTTCTAAATTAGTCTCACTTTGTAAAATCTACAGCTAATTTTCCCTGTGCATTTTTTTCTTTGTTTGTTTTAGACTCATCCACAAAAGAGGCACTCAAATACATTTTCAAGGATCTTTCAGCTAAACTGGCTTCTGACGTGCTGGTATTCAGGATTTGTCATAGCTCAGTATATTTGTGGCCAAACAGTGGGATGAACTCCATGGCAACTGAGCTTTCAGATGACTCTGCCTGCAAGGAAATACTACAGTTTATTCAGTGAGTATGGCTAGACAAAAATAATGGTTTTGTGGGTGGAGATGAAGATGGTATAATAATTTGCCATGATACAATCATTCTGGCACTGTTTTCCAGATTTGAACAAGAGGGCACCAAGCAGAGATTTTCAAAAAAGAAAGATAAAAAGTTACGAGAGATGGTATGTATAGATTTTTTTTGCTGCACTTGTACTTTTCTATGAAATGTGAAGAATTCATTATTTCCAAATTTGTTTATTGATTAGGCAAGTATTTGTGAAAAATACAATATATTTAGTCCTTTTCTCTTAGAATCAATATTGAGTTATTTAATTTATATTGGAAATTGACTCTAGGGAAAGTGGTGGGATTCCCTGTCTGCCACTTTTCTGATCTAACATTTTTCCACAATCTGATAGGGGAAACAGAATCTTTGGAGTAATTTAGATTATAATTTGTATATTAAAGTCTTCTTTATTTTCAGCCATCAATAGTAAATATTGATCTCATGTTGGAAATTACAACCTCATTAGAGCCTTTGGCTCCAGTAATTGAAAAGGAAAGCAAAGAGCATCACTACATTAGCATGACATTACCAGTTGATGTTGTGGTCTCTATTTCTCCGGAAGAAACATGGCGCAAGTAAGTAGGTTATATAACTGAGTATGTATTTTTAAGATTCCTTTAGTTTGTTTCTCTTGCAGTTTTATCTGCATCCAAATCTCCAGATGGGTAGAATTTTCAGGCATGTAACATTAACCTAGTTAATTTGTTAGAAACCGCTGGCTCCCTTCTCATTAAACAATTCAAAAACAGGTTGTGATGAATGAAAAACAATGATAAGGCACAGAAATACACAGTACCGCTAAAAAAGTGGTTGATGCCTCAGACTAAAAAAAAGTGTGTGTCAGCTATAGTTAAATATTAAAGGAATTCACAGTTGGAGCACTTGGAGTGAAAATTCCTACACTTTAGTCTCCATAGAGCAAGTTCCATACAAATATGGCACCTACAACTACAACTATATCAAACATTCAGGTCCAAAGCTACCTCAAACTTTGTACGTACTACAAATTCTTGGCAGTGCCTTCAAAATGGGATAAATTGTTAACAGTAACTTGTCCTTTACAGCAGCCTACCTCCCAGTGTCATGTTCTAGCTGGAGTAATGTTACTAATGAATTGCTGTAATTCAGTCTTAATATTACCGTTTGTTTACAACTACAGTTTGAAGAATGTTTAGAAGTACAATGTAAAATACTTTGCCTGATCTCCCCAAATCTGTCGTTTCCAAATTTGATTTCATATGCAGAATCCTGAAATGCTTCCTGAAAAAAGGCTGATCCTTTTTCTAAAATGGATTAGGAACGAGTCAGATTCTTTAAAAACTTGTCATTGGTTCTATAGGTTTGTTATATGAATGTATTACCATAGAGCCAGATCTTACAATGAATGAAAAGGCAGATATAAATCTATTTGGAGACCAAGAATATAAATCAGGCAGTACACTGATAAACATCTTTACTAGTATACGTTATATAATATCTATAGAGATTGCTCAGTGTAGAAAATCTAATGGAGAGAATGTGGGGGGGGAAATTACTCTTTCTTGTTGTTTTACAGTGTAAGAAGCCTCTTGGTGAATGCAATTCACACGCAGCTAGCTGATATGGAAAGATGCATTTTGCAACATATGAGAGGAACATCAGTTGTGGTGCCGGAACAATTTCATTTCATGTTACCAGGAAAAAAGCATCTAGTAACAGTTTCATTTCCTACAGGCATTTCTGATGATCAGCTAGAGACTTACCGAAAGGTATCAGATGCTAAGCAAAATATGTATAATTAAAC